CTTTCTACTGCGGGATGAGATGATGTCCTCTTCTATATTATAGGTCTTTCTCTGTCTGATGTAGAGGAGTATACCTACAAAAAGTACTCTGATGATAAAGTCAGTTTTCAGTTTTAGATAATAAATATTATTTAATATTCAATAGTCAATATCTTAACTGTACTTCTTATTTTTCTTTTATAAGTAATATTATAGACTAATAAATTTTGTGAATCAGTCTTAATTTTAATCCTATAATTAAATAAATAATAATTTAATTATTTATCTTAATTAATTTAATTATTTTTTAATTTGACTGATGAAATATTCATTTTGTAGAGACAAAAAGATATTAAATTTTTTTTTTATATATCTTTAAGGTTGACTAATATTTTATTCAATACAAACTTACAAAAATAAAATGTAAAATATAATATATCTCTTAATTTAAAATTAAAAATAGTAATATAAAACCATTTACAGTCCTATGTGACATAGGGTAAAGAAGAAAAGGTTAGTCAAAAGATGGGTTTCTTTGCACTCCGTCTCTGGCGCTGAAAGGTGTAGGACCAACAACACATCACTTCAATGTTCAGAGCACAGCATGCAGAAATGTTAATGATGGCATCAGAATATTCATTAATGAAAAAGCTTTCCTCGAAATTCATAACAACTTGTCAAATCCATGCACGTGAAATAAACTTCAAATATAGCAGCCTTCCAATTCAAAAGGTCAACACCGTCAAAGACCATATATATATATATATATATCATTATTAAGGAGAATACGAATTTACGGTGCGTTTAGATAAATAATTTTCCTAATTTTGATTAACTACTATTCATTCATGAGACCCTTATATTAAACACGCGTATGAATGAAATAGTGAGGAACAGTAATAGTTACCCAGGAAGTAAAAATGAGAGGAAAGAGAAATGAAAAATGAAGAGATGAGCAATGAATAGGAGGCCCCAGTGGGAATACATTAATGGCATGAATCCGTGTGCACGCAATTGCTCAACAATATACTGAATCACTGACACTGTCTGGCCTGATCATGGTCCTCCCTCCTTCCTTCCCTTTTGTCCCCCTCTTCCCTCCATAAACCATTGTTCATTTCTTTTGTTCTTTCCCTCGTTAAGTGACAAATTTAAAATCCCCAATAAATTCAAACCAAAATACGCAAAAACGAGTGATCTTCAATTAATTGCATGGGCAGAGAGCACATGGAAATGCAAAATGCAAGCATAAGTGAGTTGTGAAATGGAGGATATATGGTTGACCCTACGACCTTTGAAAGTGACAAGACCGTGGAGGAGGAGGTGACGGCTGAGGAGAGTGCCACCCAATAACAGTACTAGGTGTGGGAACCTTAAGGTTTTGTCACTTCCATAAGTAAAACGGCAAAAGCTATAAGGTAATTAGCCAACGCTCTGCTCGGTCAATCAAAACGACAGTGCCGCAGCTCATGGAGAAGAACTCGCTGTTCAATTACCGCAATACCCCTCTCTGGTGGAACGCGCACGTGTGACGTGTCCCTGCCACACACCAATCTTCCTCCATCATCCTTTATTGCCCAATAACCCCACCTTTCTCGTTTCAACACTTTCTAAATGTCTCTTGCATTTTCATTCTACGCTGATTCAAAGCCATTCAACGCACCTTCTCAATTATTTTTCAATGTTTTTAACATTTTAAATACTTTTCTTTTATACATTGAAAAAATTGGTCGTCAGAGTTTGGTTTAGTCAGTAAAAAATAAATTTTATTCTTGATAACCATTAGTAAATACTTCTATAAACACTTTTTTAAGTGTACTTTTTAGTCTTGGTAAGTGCTTAAAAGATAGAAATTGATTAAATTGCTTGTTAGAGCTTAGAACTACTATCCATTGGGTTTAGGTTTTGCTATGCCTTTTTTACTAAACATCAAGTTAAATTCTTATAAAACGTTCAACCATTCAAAAATTTCTTTTAAGTTCAATAGGGTAGCCTTTTTAAGGCTTCAATTTGCTTATTTACGTGTAAGTTTAGGTCCACTGACCTACTTCGAAATATTTTTTTAAAATTTATTTAAAATTTTTTATTGTAAAGTAGACTTTTAGAAAAGTTAGTTTAACCTTAAAAAATAACTTATAACAGGCAAAAAAGTTAAGATCCAACCTTCATTCATGAGTTCAGATAAGAACATGCTTTACAAAACTTCGTTAAGCTCACCTCATTTTCAATTCTAGTCTTTTAAGCTTAATGCACTAAAATTTTTAGCAATTTAAAAATGATAATTTCATGATATTGAATAACATTTTATGATTATGTTAGAGTTAATATCTAAATCTATTTCAAAAATATGAAAATATTGCTGCTAGATATAAAAAATACCGAGCAAGTAAAAATTAACAAGTCATCGACTACATACTTGATACAGAGTTTCATGTTACAATTTAAGATACGATTCAATAATAAGCATATATTGTCTAATTTTCATTTACCATTCAGTTTGACTTTTACATTAAAATTTTTAATTTTTATTAACAAAGTATTTAGTTTAAAATATTTGAAGGATAGTTTTTTAATAATATTTTTATGTCTAATCTAAATTTTTAAAGGGCGAAGAAAAAGAACTGAGAGGACCAAAATTCATTCTGAATCGATTTTAGCTTTCCGTCAAATTGAAATATTTGAACAGAAAAATAAAACTATATTTAACAAATCCTGTTTCCTTTTCGTGCAATTAACATCCTTATTTCTCTTTCTAACGTTACTAGCGAGCAAGTACATTTCCTTAGTCACCCAATTATTATATTGACTTTTTAACAATAATATTTGTGTAAAGCATAATAAAATATATTTAATTTTATATTACCAATTTGTATTGTTAATAGAATAATAGTATGTGAAGGAATTCATTTCTCGTGTGTGATATGTACCAAGTTGATTAAATTAAATGATTTATGATTTAGAATAAAAATTTTATTCCTCTACTCTTTGATTGATAGAGTTGAACCCAGAATAAACTGATAACGCGTCACAAAAAAATAAATATAACAAAATTGCATAATCTAATATATATATATATATATATAATAATAATAATAATAATTTATAGTGTAGAGTTATTAGAGAAGAACTATTTTTTGAGGAAGTAAAAAGGATAGTAAAAAATTATCAAGGTTGTCATAGTTGGAGAATATACTTTAACTATGTTAAAAGTGGTGACAATAACATAAAGGATGATGGAACTCAATGAAACAAAGGTAAAGATGAATGATAACTTTGAATGGGTGATGAATAATGGAAGAAGAGTGATGTTTCTTATAACAGTTATGCAAAACTGCCACTAAATCTTATATTTTTTATGGCAGTTATTAAAATTAACATTAAATATTATTTTTAAAATATTTTTAGTGACTATTATTACTGATCACCGCTAATAAACTAACATTAAATGGTGCATTTCTTGTAGTTTATGCAAATATTTGTGTTATAATTTATTAATTAGTACAAGGTATAATGATAAAATAACTTTATTTCCTTTTCCCTCTCCATCATAAACCAAATAAAGAGAATATTTTTTTCCTTCCCTCTTTTGAACCGAAAAAATATCTCCTTAACGAACACTTCATAATTTTTCTCATGTATTTTTATTCTTTAACGAGTTATGTGTTTTTTTCTAATTGGATTTTTTTTTAACCTTTTCATATACCATAATTATTTGAATTTATTTAAATATGAAGAATGGTAATTCAAACAAAATATTTTTATAATTTTTATTTAATTTTTAAAATTTTATCTCTTTGATTGTTTTTATATCTAGTAAAAGCATTTCTTATTAGACATCCACAATTATCTTAAAAATTTTTATCTATAAAGTTGACTTAATTTTTAAAAGAACTTATATAACACATCAAAGCTTTTACTAGATATAAAAACAATCAAAGAGATAAAAAATTTTATCTATAAAGTTGACTTAATTTTTAAAAGAACTTATATAACACATCAAAAACTTATTAGTATTTCTGTTTCCATTGAGCATGTGGAGAAGACTCTCTTATAAAACTATTTAGTGCATTTATTTAAACATGTAAACAAAATTAAAAAATCACCCAAAAATAAATTTTTTTAATTAATTAGAGAAGGCAGTTTGAGTATCTTTTGGAAAAGAAGCTACAATGAGAACCAAATTTCAAAATAAAAAACTTTTATAGTTGTAAACAAATAAATAGAATTTTTTTAAATATTCAAACAAACAAATTTGCAAATGTAAGTCTTTGCTAACGAATGACAAATTTTAAGAATTATTCATTTTTATTAAATTGGTTTATTTTTTCTACAATTTTCTACCTTAAAAAAGTTAAAGATATTTGTAGATAAAAATTTGATTTTTAAATTTTAATAGATCACATTAAAAAAGAACATGTCTTGTTAAAAAAAAAATTGATTGTATTACTTCCTCATTTTAAAAATTCTTATATCTATAATTTATACTTATGTACCATATATAATAGAACACCCATTATTAATACTAAAAATAACTAATATTGTATTTAATGTATTTTATTCATAAATCTTGCTTAGTTTTTTTTTAAGAACAAGAGAGCAATTGTTGCTTCTTATTTACTATTGGAAACGTGTTTATTGTTAAAGTAAATCTTCCATTCCCTTAATCAAGTGGGCAATGAAAGGATTATAATTTATTTCCCTTTTTTATTTGTCTAATTGTTCAGCAAGCAAGTAGACACAAACACAACAACACACACTAATCCTTTTAATTTCTCACAATACATTCCCAAATCCAAGGTATATAAGGTAATAAGCTAAAAATAAAGTATTAAATATTTGTTTCCCTAAAAAGAAATATGGATAAAATATATAAAGAATGGAATTAGCTTAAAGGAAGACTGAGGAAAGAAAAGTGAAGGAAATGAAAATTGAAAAAGGAAAGATATTTAAAATTGACAAGAGTGGGGAGTGCGTGTGATGGTTATCGACTAAGTAGGGGGCGTGTGATGCAGCAGAACATCAAAGCCTGAAATAGCATAGGCAACATCCATGGAACATTCCAGATCCCTCTAATCCAATTTCAGATCCCTCACACTCTTCTCTCTTCCCAAATTACATATTATACATTACTCCCTCTTTAATTACAATAATAAATAGTAAACAATAATAATAATAATAAACAGTAACAAGTAATAATGTCATCATCATCATCGTCGTCGAATTCTCCGTGCGCAGCGTGCAAGATTCAGCGGAGGAAGTGTACTCAGGAATGCGTGTTCGCGCCGTATTTTCCGCCGGACAACCCACAAAGGTTTGCATATGTCCACAAAGTATTCGGAGCCAGCAACGTTGCAAAGCTTCTCAACGAGCTGAACGCGGCGCAGCGTGAGGACGCCGTTAAGTCCCTCGCATACGAGGCAGAAGCGCGTTTGCGGGACCCAGTTTACGGTTGCGTGGGTCTCATATCCATTCTCCAACACAAGCTGAAGCAGATGCAGAATGAACTCAACAACGCTAAGAAAGAACTTGCGTCTTATATTGGACCCCACGCTGTGATTCCTCCTCAGCCACCGCGCAATGCTTCTACTTTCTCGCTCTTTCCGTTCAACGCCACGCCTCCTCCTCAGGATCTTTTCAGGTTCAACGACGACGGAGCCTCCGCTTCACACGGTGGTTTTAACCACCTCTCTGTGTTTTCGCCTTCCCATGCCGATCACTCTTTCCGTCAGACCCAAACGCATCCTCTTCCTCTTCCGCTTCATCACCACCACCACTTAATGTTCTCTCAGATGCAGCCCAAGCCCGAAAGCGACCAGGGAAGGAACACTGCTCCTTCTTGTTGATTTTTCACTTTCAAGTTCCGTGTTTTTTCAAAACACCTATTTTAACCTAGGTATGTCTTCTAATTATTAACACACTCCTGTTCAGTTTCTCTTTTTACTCTCTTGCTTCTTCAGTTTTAATTTGAGGGTTTATCCACTTGATGGTTGCAAAAGAAATTAACTTGAAGTCAAATTTAGCCTTAGACGCACCACTTTGAGTTTTAAGGGTTTGCTCAAACCTCCCTCTTTTGCAATGTGTCTCCTTCATCTTGGCTAGTTAATATTAGCAATTATGTGGTTTCACTGATTTTGCTTAAAAAATTGTACATAGAGAAAAAGAAGCATGAAATTATGTCTGATGAATAAAACTTGAATTCATTGGAATTAAAAACAGAAGCTTGATTTGTGTGCTGTGCTCAGATGCTTCTCATCATTCAATTTTTCATTTTTTTAGGGCTTTGTTGTGATGTTTTTTTGCTTCACCAAGTCAAGGAAGGGTTTGGTGGTATAAGGAAACAGACATGCCAAAAGAGTCTCCTTTTACCTGTGTTATACCAGTAGTGATTGGTGTTCTTTCATTTTGTTGGTCCATGAGTACGAATATATTTATATCCTTTCATTTTCAAACAGGTTTTTAAAATTAAAAATGTTGGGCAATGCCATTTCTAATATTTTTATTTTATTTGATTCTCTTGTGCAGCTTTGTTCTTGTCAATCGGAGGCAAGTGGGTTTAAAGAAGGAAAGAGAAAGAGGGAGAGAGAGAGAGAGAGAAACTTGCAGAAAGAAAGACAAAAGGAAGATGGGGTAGAGAGATGATGGTATATGAGACTGACTAATCCTGCATTGTTTTTTGGGTTTGAACTCTTAGATGATTTTCAAGGTAGATGCATTTTAGAAAGTAGGATCTGCATAGATGTTCGAGAACGATTTTTCAAGTATAGCAATTGGACTTCTTTCATCTCTTCTTAAACAAAATGTGAAATCAGCACTCACCAAGTATTTTATAGTTGGAGCCTCCTCTTGGTATTTTCTTTGTCATCCCTATACTATACTACTAGTTTCCTAGTATTCTGGTAGGATGGCATTTGATTATCTTATGCCACATATGGATAGGAAAAATCTGAGATATCTTTTCAACTCTATCTTGTTTATCTTTTATATCTTATCGACGAATCTGCCCATTTACATTGACGTTGATAATGAGATGATGTGAAATGGGGGCCTAAATTCGTAAAGCGTATGCCCAGATAGGAGTGGGATTTTAAATAAAAGAGAAATTTGGGTAAGTTTTATATTTTAAGAGTTATATAATATTTATAAAATAATATATGATTATGATATTAAATATAAATTTATTTTTTTTTAAAGTCTGCACTCAAACATATCCTAGGAACCTATAGAAATTAATAACTAAATATTTCTCAGGGAAAATATATAGGGCCTTATTTAGTTGTCATAGTCACAGTCCATAAGTATGGCCAGGCATTTTTCCATGAAAAAGCACCAAGATAGGAATTTAAAAACATCGTATGATTCATATACTGTACAAATACTTAATCAAGTTATTGTCTTTGTAAAATTTATGATATTTTATTTTATTTTCTTCGATGTAGGCCTTGGATTTATAATTAAATAATTTTTTTATAGTTTTTTTTTTCATTTGATCCTTCAAATATTATAAAAATTTCAATTGATTTATTTATGTATCATGAATTTTACATTTAGAGAAAGCAAATTAAGAAACAAAAGACAAATGAGTAATTTTTTTTCCTTTTATTATCAAAAGATTAATTATTCCTTGTACGAAATTAAAGAACCGTGTGTGCTCGATAAACTAAATCTAGTTTTTTTTATTTATTAAAAAGTATTATTAATTTACCCTTAACATAATTTTTAATAAACATATTTATTTATTTATTTCTTATTTAGTGCCTTAAAAGCAATGATTAACAAAATCTTTAATTTTTTATCACATAAAATATGGGATAAAATAATTAAAATGCTTTGAACAATTATCCACGAACGAGTCACAATATAAAAAAATCTTAGTCTTTTTTAAAAAATTAAATTAAATGGCCATTTTCATTAACTTAAATTTCTATTATCTGTAAAATCAAACGTTATATATGTAAGTGAATAGCGAAATATAAAATATTATCCTAAGTTCATTATGAAATCTATCAGGAATCGGTTAACAATTTAAATTTAAATTTAAATTTTTTTATTTAAATACATAGGTGTTTTTCTCCACATTTCATCATTTTTCATCTTCTGACTGGTATTTTATTAATTTTTATTATATAAAAAAAAGTAGTGACAAAGGTGCACATATAGAGTAAAAACTACTTAAATATAACAAAATATGAAAACGATTGGATGGGATTATTTTATTATTTAATTTATAGGGAAAAGGTTGTTGACATTATTATTTAAACGTGTATGGTAAATTTTGTTAAAATAAAATGTTATAAATTTGATTAAGACAAAATAGTGACGATCAATAAATTTTCAAAGATTGTGACTAGAAGTTAAGGATTTATTATTTTAGTTAACTTTTGATTTTTTATTTTATTTTCAACAAATAATTTATTTAAGTAACAAAATAATTGTTATAAACAACCTTAAAATTTTATTGGTAAAATAATATTTTTATTAACTTTTAAAAAAATAAACCATCATTTTTATTCTACTAAACACATTTAAATACACAATTTATTTTATATAATTAATAATAGAAAATAATTAATTCTTAAAATAATATATTTTTCAGAAATAATTCCGTGCAATATATAGTAAACAAAAAAGAATAATTTATTTTTAATATCCCAAACTTTTATTTGCCTTATCTTTTATTTTTCACGAAGAAACAGGCACAAATTCCATTTAAGAGTAATGCCCTTGATGTGATGAACAACTTTTAATTAATCACAGCATATAATTACTTTTATTTGCATTTCATAGAAACTGTTTAGTTACTTCTAATATCCAATTGAATGCACAGGGTAATTCAATTAGTGAGAAAACTTATTTAGAAAGGTGAGGAGGAGAGAGACGCAGCGAAACACAGAAAAAACCGCAAACAAACAGGAGGTGGGACGTGGAACACCAAACAATGGTCGTTGATCTCTCTCTCTCTCTCTCTCTCTCTCTCAAACAATGGTCGTTGATCTCTCTCTCTCTCTCTCTCTATATATATATATATATATATACACACACACAAACACACTACGGCAGGCTCCATGAGCATGGCGGCTTCATTGGCCCTACCACATAAAAGAACTATTGTCACAACTTCTGTATGGTGTTTAATTGAAATTCAAAGATGCCATCTCTCGCCAAGGTGCTGTCATAACCCCAATTTGATGACACTTTCTAATAGCAGAAGAATCTGTGACTGTGTTGTGTTAAGTACCGCTACAAGTTCTAGCGGGCTAACCTTTCGCACCCAAAAATAGGGGAGAGAAGTGATAGTTGATCGTGTCTTTTTTTTTTTTAAATCTACTGTGGATGATGATATTGTCAATGCCTAACAGTATTCACATCAAGCAGGAGAATAATAATATTTGAGAGTGATACTATGATACTTTCAACCCAACAAACACTATATAACGTAACATGTTTGGTCAAAATACATAGCTCAATAAAAAATAAATACATACACTTCAATCATATTTATCTTTATCATCAGGTGAAAAAAACCAATTCACAACAGAGGATGATTTTTATTTTCACCTCCCTGCCACTTCTTATTCATTTTCTTTGTTTTCTTTATCTTGGCCTGCTCTGTGCTCTATAGACAGCTAACATGTTACTAGCAAAAGAAGCCAATGATAACGACATGATCTCAACTGTAGAAAATCGATCAAAGTTGGCCAAAAGACAGTAACGACTTTGGACCTTAAGAAGAGGAAGGGAATAATTAAGATGATACCTTCATAGAAACACTAATGGATGGATAAAGAATGAAATGAAGAAGGAAAAAGAAAAGGAGGAAATAGAAGTGACCACCAGAAAAGAAAAGAAGGGGAGTGGAAGATAGAAGAGAAAAAAAAAAGATTTTTTTTCTTTTCACTAAAAAGAGAAAACAATTAACTTACAATGAATTATTTATTTATTTATTTATTTCATAAAGAAGAGAATCCCCCAGAGGGGAAGCTGGCTGCAGGGATCTGTTTGGATTTGCAACGTTAGAGATTTTGAAGATCATTCCCATTCAATTTTAAATGATGGTAGATGCTATCAAAAAGGAGGATTAGGTGGTTGGGTCTACAGTCCATGGACTCTTGGTTAAGGAGGATACTATTTTTTTCAGGTATGGATTATTTGGACATATCAACAAAAAGGCGAGTGGGTTCAATCCTGGTTTGCACTTTATGTAGTCAAAGAGCCCAACCCAATCCGCCACCAGTATGCGGTGGCACTTGAAAGCACTAACAACCAAAACTTCAGCCCAGAAAAAAAAAAAAAAGCCTGACAAGCAAAACTGAAAACCTATGTATTTTTCCATTGATAAAAAAAAGCAAGTATATTTCTTCTTGAGTAGTGTTATTTTTACTTAAAAATCTGCAACACATTTTTTAGTAATAATAAAAAGAAAATAGTTAGAAATGAGATAAGATGAGTAACATGATAAAAGAAAATAAAGAAAAAATAGTAATATAAAAATTTACTACTAAAAAAGCGCTATTTACAGATAGATTTGTAGATTTTTTTTTTTTTTTGAAAAATTTGTCTGAATTACAGATGGATTAAAATCTGTCTGTAAAATTTGTCTGTAGTTTACCCGTCATTTGGTGCGAAATGATACAGATAGGAATTACAGACAAATTTTTCCGTTTGTAATTTGAAAATATGAGGAAATTTTATAGCAGGAGCTACAGACGAATAAATCCGTGTGTAAATATGGCCATTTTTAACCGACCTTTTAGGTGACAAATTATAGACAAATTTTTTCGTCTGTAAATGGACTTGACGAATTTACAGACAGAAAAATTCGTCTGTAATTTGCCACTTGAAACGTACCGTTTCATTAAACTCTTTACAGACAAATTTTTCTGTCTGTAATGACTGAAACCCATACAACGACGCCTCCCCTTCTCCTTCCTCATTTTTTCATTACTCTCTCTCTAGGAGCTCAGTGTTTTGGCCTTTGCGAGTGAGTAGGGCATCCATTTGAAAGATTTTTTGCATCATTGTATTCATAATACGATACTCTAAGTTTTAATCGGTTTAGTTTTTTAATTTTTTATGTTTTTTAGAGACTTAAAATTTCCTAGATAGAGTTGTAGGATTGGAGATTGTATGACTGGAGGGAAGGGCGTAGAGGCCCTTCTTCGAACCTGATTATTGTGTGCTGCGAGATTATTTGTACTTGTAGAGTTTGTAGAATATGCATGTTGTGGAGTTACAAGAGATGTGCTCTAGAATGGTTTAGGATTGTGATGTGTTTGTGTTTGATGTATCGATTAATATATTGTTATATAATATATTAGTTATGTGTGGTGAAATTTTGATTTTTGTAAAAGAGTGGTAAACAAATGTAAGGAAATTGACATGTATTAGGGGAGATTCAGCCAAAATTTATATTAAAATTCAGTGTAACCTATAATAGAAGGTTGATACCACATTGTATATTTGTATTAGGTTTATATAGTTCTTGAGGAAGATGTTTCTCAGAAATCATCAGTGGATGTATGATAGGTTGCACCCAAGTCGAGGGAAATAAAACTTGAATTCTTTGAGGGTGTAGAGGAATTCATACGTGTCTATTGTAATTTGCAGCAATTCATTACCAACCAAAAAGTTAGGTGTCCATGTTCTAAGTGCAAGTGTAGAAAATTTTTAGATATTGATTCAATAAGATATGATTTGTATAAGTTTAGATTTAAACATGAGTATTGGATATGGACTGAGCATGGGAAAGTAGTTAATTTGGAAAATCAAGTAGGTAATTCAAATATATTGCAATCAGGTGAGGATGTAGGTAATGTAAGT